CAGAGATTGTTTAATTTCCGCCTTTGATATGTTCAGACTGTGCTGCAGATTTCTGCTCGTCTGCTCCGGTTCCCTGGTTTTCTGTAATCCAGCAAAGCGATATCACATTTTATGGTGACTTAATAGTGCAACACACACACACACACACACACACACACACACACACACAGAGAAATAAAATATAACATCAAAATCACATTTCTGTAAAGCAGCAGCTCGTTTTTATGTGTCCGAGAGCAGCTTCTGCACAAACACACACACACACACACACACACACACACACACACACACTCGTCTTCCTGTAAGCCGTCTATGAGCGTGATTTCAGCCTCTGGAGGTGTTTTCCTCGTCAGTGTTCTGTCAGAGGAACAGGAGCTGCTGTCTGTCTGTCATGCTGAGATGCTCCTCTCCCCCTCCGGCTTCATCAGCAGTATCTGCAGTCCATCACCACAGATCAACAGCAGCATCAGGGCGATTGATGAGCGACTTCATTACAGATAAACTCAGTCCCCTGACTAGCGCTGTCTTCTGCTCATGCTGTTACTTTAATCCCGCTCGCTGTGTTTCTCCAGCTCTTCTCTGTCAAACGCAGGAGTTCCAGTGAAGCGGCGTCAGTCCAGAGTTCAGAGCTCAGCTCATTCATTTCCCTCAGCTTAGTCTCTTTATTCATCAGGGGTCGGCACAGCGGAATGAACCACCAACCATTCCGGCATTTGTTTTACATAGTGGATGTGATTCCAGCTGCAACCTTAGTACTGGGAAACACCCATACACACTCATACACTATGGCCAGTGTAGTTGTTCAGTTCCCCTATAGCGCATGTCGCCACAGCGGAATGAACCGCCAACTTATCCAGCATGTTTTTACGTAGCGGATGCCCTTCCAGCCGCAACCCATCTCTGGGAAACAACCATACAGACTCATTCACACTCATACACTACAGACAATTTAGCCTGCCCAGTTCCCCTATAGCGCATGTGTTTGGACTGTAACCGGAGCACCCGGAGGAAACCCACGCCAACACGGGGAGAACATGCAAACTCCACACAGAAACACCAACTGAGCTGAGGCTCAAACCAGCGACCTGAGTGCTGTGAGGCAATTGTGCCACCATGCCGCCTATCATAATTACTAGTAATGTTATTATGATGGATACTGCTTTATGGGCTGCACACACACACACACACACACA